CTCCGCTCCGCCGCGCGGAGCAGAGAGGAGAGGGCTCGCGGGCGGCGGCCGCGGGGTCCCGGCTGCGGCGCGGGGCGGCAGCGGGGCGCTTGGCGAGCCCGCCTTCCACTTATATACATTTATATATATGTTTTTCATGTAAGGGGGAGCTCTGTCTTTCCGGGGRGAGGCTGTGCCCAGCCTGCCACATGCCTCTTCCTTTATGAATGTTAATTACTCTTTTTAATAACGTTTTTCTGCTGGCGGAAGGCGCCCCCTGCTCCAGCGTGAATCCCAGTGTTTCCTTCTAGACTTGYTGTTACCGTGATTTTTTTTCCTTTGTGCGTTTTATGCTGTGGACTTTCTGCAGCATGCTCCTGGGAGGAGAAAGGGGGAGTCCTTGGGTGTTTTAAGGTGTATGAGCAGTGTTAACTACATCATTTTTTTTCCCTCAATAGAGTGTGTGTGTGTATAAATATGTATATAAGGTATTTTCATATATATAAAATTTCAGTTCAAGGGGCCTTGCCTTCCTTGAAGGATCTCCTAGCATCTTTGTTAGGAGGGGGACGGGCATGCCAGCAAAAGCGYTGCCTATGGAGCGCAAGGTGGACACCAAAGTACTTCACCCATCCAGGGTTTTATACAAAATGGAGAGAGGTAGGAAGGGGGGGGGGGACAATTTTATTAAGTATAAGTCAGTGTAAAGTTAGGCTTCAATGCAGAGAAAAGTCCAGTGGCAGGACTGGCTTGTAGTGCTCTGCCCAGTGGTAGGAAATATGCTGCAATCACCAGAGAATTTCCTTTACTGAGGCGTTAGGGCTTCTTCCAGGACTAAGATGTTTTGGTTGCAATGGCTRTGGGGTCAGTGAGGAACTCGCTTACTTGCTAGACTTTCTAGTTTTTCATTTTTTATTTTMTTTCTTTCCTAATCCTGGGAGGGGAATAGCATAAGCCTTCCTAAGCATAAAGCTGTGGAATTATATTTTTAAACATCCTTTTTTTGTGTGTGTGTTTACTTGTTTTCTTTTTTGTCATCCTGACTCACTTCTAGCCCTCTGGTATTTCTTGAACTCCTGTAGCTGTTGGTGGCCCAAATCCCTGTGTTTGTAGAGGTTTACACAGCAGGCTCTCCTGGACACTTGATCCAGAGATGTGATTTGTTTTATCTGAAGCGTTGTACTCAGCTAGATGTGTAAAAGCATCAATAGGCTCTTCCTGGGTGCCTGAGCACCTTTAAAATATAGATATGGCTCCTGAGTCGCTTTCTGGAGGTAACCAGGCCGTATGGAAGGAAAAAGGACCTGGGTGTGAGGCCAGCTGCAGGACTGTGCTTTCCTCCCTGGAGATTATAGGGTATTGGTAGCTAAATWCTAGTCTGAAGTAACCTCTTTGGATGTGCCCATTCAGCTTATCTCCCAGCTGGAGTGCCTGTGAAATGAATCCATGGGGCTGGGGCTGCTCTAAGTGGCTGCTCAGCTTGCAGCTGAGAGCAATTCATGGTCCATTTTGGGAAACATCTGAATATTYCTTTTGGAAGAAAATATAGAAGGCCGCCTCTTGCCTTAAAGGCCTTTGCTGTAGCTCGTAAGTCTCTCTTATTTATTTTGAGTGGGGAGGGTATGCTTGGATGTATCCAGCAGATACTGGACTTGTTTAAGTTTTATTTCTAACAATCAATCTCTTCCTACTTTTGGCCAAAGAGTGTGTGTTGGGGGATGTGTGTGGTGGTGTGTGTAGTTTTTTTTTTTTTTTTTTTTAAATGGATTTTTTTTCCTTTGTATCCTCATCTTCCATGAATTGACCTTCAGGAGTGACTCTTAAACTGCTGCTTTATAGATTAACCTATAGTGTTTTTTATGGCAGTATTGTTTGCTGCTCTCATGTTGATTGCAGCTTCCTGTAATACATGATCTCTAGCTGCCTTATAAAAGGACAATGGAGACATTTGGAGAGTTGAATTTCTTTTAGTAAGCTGTTAGGGGCTGATTAAAAGTATGAGGTTAGTGTGGGTTCTGTCTTAAGCTTCCCTCAAACAGAATTTGTGGGGGCGGCATGTTTCTATTCACGAACTGAGACGTCGCCTTAATATTGGCTAGTGCCATCCCTGCCATCATCTAGATCTTTAAAATTKCTGGGGAGCTATGGCCCAGAGTGTTCTAACTGAAAGACTTTTCCTGGTTTAAAAAAAAACTAAGAGATGCACAAAAATGTTCTGGTACGTTGTGCCTTTTGGGAGAATATTTATTTTATTTAAACTTTCGAAAATAGTTTTAATAAGAGTTGCTTTTTTTTCAAGATTTTGTTGGAAAATGCCCAAGGTAAGATAACCTTTACAGACGCTAAAGAGCKGTGAAGAGAAAAGCTTATTCACATAAGGCCTCCATTAATTGGTAATTTATATGCTGTAAGTTTTTTAATTTATGATGTATTAGGGAGATGAAGGTGAGATGCTGTGGTGAGAGCCCCTTTTTTCACTTCAGAAGTATAATTTCTAAACCTGTTGTTCATGGATGTGTTTCTAAACAGGGCTCATACTTTTCCTACAGTCTTTGCTCAAGAGTAGCCCTATGAATCTCAATATAGGTAAAGCTGGATTTGGAACCCATGTCAGCAAAATACAGTGACCTGGAGGCCAGGGGTGGTTTGTAAACTGAGTTTTTGGTCAGAATGTAACACTCAGCACCTGCAGCTCCTCCTAACAGCTCTTACCAAATCTTCATTTTTGAAGCTATGGTTTGCATGAGTAAAATACTGTAGATAAATAAAATACTGTAGTGTGATGTAAAATACTGTAGTGTGATTGTATTTTGCTGCTTTGAGAGAGCATCTGCTTGTTCCCCTGAGTTTCTGCTGTCACCTTGACTCTGTTTGGTGAACATCAGGACAGCCTGTGTGCTGTCATTGACAGGCTGCTGATTTCTGATTTAGAAGGCRATAGTTTCAGTCTTGTGTTTAATCAGATTTTGAAGTAGTGTGTTACAGTGCAGTAGTGTAGTATGSTAAGTAACCCTTTATAGGCAGCAAATACACCCATACTGGAACTAATTTGTGTATGACGGTAGTTTTATGGCTATTAATTGAAAATACATATATATATTTAGAAGAGATAGATACAGGCATACTTTCATGGGGAGAGGGGACTTCAATGTTAAATAAAAAATTATAAATACTGAAATTGCAAGTCATATTATTAGTTTTTCCTCTTGCCTATCCAAAACTGAAGTTCCATAGTCAGGAACTAGTGAGCAGCCTGGTTAAGCTACARTACTGAAACATGAAGTGGGAACTCACTCTCACCTGTGTTAGATCTTTGTAACAGAACCAGTGTCTTGTCCCTCCTCCTCTGGTGCTTTTCTACCTGTGCTACCACAGTGCAGGTGCTGTGTCCCAACTGGGGAATAGGAGAGATGATGATGATAATACAGCAAAGAGGCTCTTGTTAGGTACGTGTCCTGTTCGGCATAGGCTTCTCAACAGTATTTAAATCAGTGGTTATAATGTGTTGCAGATGTAGTTTAGAGCTTGGGCTCTGAATTGTTGGCAGAGAATTCTGAAATATTCTGAAATATTTAGAGCTTGGGCTCTGAATTGTTGGCAGAGAAGGAAACCCTGGGAGCTATGTGCGTGTGTCCATTTGAAGCTGCGTTGCCAGACTTTTTTGGTGCTCCTTTTATTTTAGACATGTTGACATTGTATGTGCCAGCTGGTTTGGGTTTTTCATTTCTCAAATGCCACATGTTGAGCTGGGGTGAATTGAAAATGGAGTGTAATGGGTGGACTAGGCATGTTTCTGTGCTGATGTAGTGATCTTTAGCTTGCAGCTAGCATGTTTAGCATGGTTAAAAGATAAGTTTTTAACACTGTTTTATTAGAGGCTGTCTTGCATCTGTGTGTAATTCTCCTGTTCTCCCTAAGTGCAAAGTTGCTTCATTAAACCATCAATATCTCCATCTGTCTAGAATAATTAGCARTTAATGCTCAAACTCTCCTACTGTGGTAGGAAGAAGAATAACATGTATTGCTTTATAATGCTTAAAAAAGGGGTGAAATGAATTAAGCTTTATTTTGAGGGACTTCTCGAATTGATTTGATTTAGGATTTGTATTGTGATGCTTGGTGCATACAACTTTGAAGAGTCTAATGCCTAGTTTAGGTACTACACTAATAAAAACCTCATAATATTGAGGATCTGATATTCAGCTGCTTGCACGGTTTTGGCCTTCAGAGCAGTTCTTGCTGTACTGTACTGCTTGCTGATGGAGATTTAACCAGCAACATCTTCATTCTTCCCAGGATTTAGTTTTATGCTTCCAGCACATCAGTCTTCAGAATGCTTGCATTGTTATTTAGGGTTAGCATAGAGGCCATCTTTTACCATCCCAAGTCAAAAGTTGTTCATTCTTATAAGTGTCCTGTGTTTGTCACCTACCTGAAACATTATGCATGCTAATTACTATGAAACTTGTCAAAAGTGAGTTGCTCTCCGCTAATGAGTGGTTAGGAAAAGGGCTCAGTCAGGAGTGGGTTTGATGGGGTTGATTCTCAGTGTCTTCCTTTCCTATATAATTTTCAGGCTTTTCAGAAAACCTTCACAAGCAACTGGAGCAGGACCACTTGGAGATTGACTAGAGCTTTTCAGTTGGATTGTGGCCACTGATTCAAGCACGGGGTTTGCAACTTAGGAAGCTGAGATTGATGCCAAATTCCAGGGCAGTGATTATGGTAGATGTATGTGAGGAATTTAWAGGTAGCCAAGAATGCCTGTTCATTCACATGTGCCCACAAGTAAAATGGCAGTGTTAAATAGCAGATGGCAGTGTCAGGAGTGGGGAGTGCAGAGAACCAAGTGTTTCCTCTTTAGAGGTGGCTGAATCCCTTATCCTACTCTAAAATGTGCCTTACGSTGGTTTTGGTGGAGTGTCCACATTCCTTAATGCCCCCTTGTGAAATGAGTGCAATTCTAGATGCTCCTRCAGCTTAGTGCTCTGAAACAGTATTTCTGCTTATGGATCAGAGTTGCAGCAGTTTAAGCAAACTTACAACCTTCAAGAATTTGGGGAAGTTTTTTTGGAGTATAAAGCACTAGACATAYTGGTACTGATTTCTCTTTCTTAAAGTTCAGTCTATTTCTTGTGTTTGGAAGTAAAAATAAATAGCTTCAGCCTTCTGTGTTTGAAAGCTTACTGGAATGTGTATCTATAGGGAACTTAAGAGAAAATTGGCATGTACATGACAACTTGAACATCTTTTGATTCGCTGATGTGAAAAGCATGCTAATAGCTTGGCTCTGCAATACCACAACTCCAAAAAATTTTTTTTCTTTTGAAGTTATTTGCCTGTACTATGATTGTAGTTACTCCTGAACACATATTACCCATTCATAAAACCTTATTGATTATGATGTGTCCATTTTGGTGTGTCTGTAAGTAGAATAAGGGCTAAATAATATAGATCAGACTGACATATATTTTTGTATGCCGTTATTAGAGGGAACATGAAAGCAGCTTTAAGGGGAAGATGTTGCAAAAGCCTTTGTTTAATTGCTTTGAGTAAAACTCTTTTTGCAAGACCGTCCTTTCAAAAGCACATGTAGGATTTTTTGCATGGCTGGGCAAAAATGTATCTTTCTATGCTCCCAAGCATTTTTAATGGGGGTGTTACTCAATTTAATCTTGCTGACTGTGATACTGAAGCCAGTGTGTGCCTTTTAATAAAGTGAAATCTATCTTGTAGCAAAATGCTAGTCTGTAGAATTTCCACATAAAATGTTAGCTGTTTCCAGGCACGACTGACTGCGTTTCACCTTGATTAACTTGCAGGAATGCAGCGAAGGCAGCAGTAAGGGTAATAGTGTGTTGCAGAGTGTTCTGTTTCCTTCATCTAAATGTAAAGGATTATTTTATTTTTTTGCTTTCAGATTTTATAGTCAGTRTTGTGCCCTCTATATGAGACAAAAGTTGGTATTACTACTGAGCTTCTCTAACTGTATACATGCAGATTTGTATAACATTTGCATAACTATAAAGCTGTTACAGTACTTTAATTTTGAAGCCTACTGAGAAATTTGTTTTTGTTAATTGTGCTTGGCCGTGAGTCTAAGAAAAAGCGACAAGGGAAGGACGAGTGACAAGAATACACAGTGGTAAACTCTGTAAGTGGTAAACCCTATAAGTGTAGGACAGGGATTTGGCAGGATAAACCCCAAACTCTCTATTGAGAGCTATAAACCTTCTGCAATCAATGCCCAAAGCATCTAGCTTTCCATATTGGACTGTTTAAAAGTCAGCAGTTTGGTTTCAGACTGGTTCTGAGGCTTCACTTTGTTTCTAGAATGCTTCTGTTTCATACTGTCTGTTAGACCCTTCGCTCACCCKCTATGAGTCTGTGTTTGGCCTAGTAGAGCTGTCCAGACTCATAAACTGCTCTCATCTTAACAGTTCAACATTCTCGTTATGGGGGAAGAGCCCTGCTCGAATGGGAAGGAAAATGCTTAGCAGAACCCTAGATGGTTTTGTACCTTTCTGGAAATAGAGCTCACTCACAGAAATGAAAGATTGGGGTATGTACCTGCCAAATTCATAATTTATAGTAARCTATTTTGTTTTTCTAAACGCTGTTAAAATAATGCTGTTTACTTGGTTCTCTTTTTGAAGAGTTTCTAGTATCTTAAGGTATTAAAACATGATATCAAGAGAACAGCCAGGAAGCTTCATGTCATAGAGTAGATCAGTTTTGGTTAAGTAGTTTGTTAATGTGAAATTCAGCAATTGCTATGAAAATGTCCACTTTGCTGTGCCATTTTCAAGAGTGAAGGCTGACAGCTTTAAACATTCATCTGATTTGGCCCTTCTTCAAGCGAAGCCGGTAGAGCTGATGCTTCTGGCTTCCTCTGAACTCAGATACCACTGTGTGTTTGCAGTTTTTAATTATTTGTGAGGGAATTGAAGTTTTTGTGTGGTTTCGAGATAATCTAGCCAGCTTCAAGCGTCTTGCTGTGTACTTCACTCTTTTGCCTTAGATTAAGTATCACTGTGTTTGGTAAGGATATGAATGGTACATGCCCAAGATGGTAAATGTGAAACTAGAACTCTGGAAGTCCCTACCCTTCCCTGTGCTCCTCGGAAGGGCTCGCTTAGCATGAGCTGCTGCTTCATTGATGCTTATCTCCATTTTCTTYCCAGAATATGGTATCAAGTTTTCGTGTTTCTGAGCTCCAAGTGTTGCTGGGCTTTGCTGGCCGTAATAAAAGTGGGCGGAAGCATGACCTCCTGATGAGGGCACTGCACTTACTGAAGAGCGGCTGCAGCCCGGCTGTTCAGATAAAAATCCGGGAACTCTATAGGCGGCGGTACCCAAGGACAATCGAAGGACTCTCGGACTTATCGGCGATAAAACCTGCAGTTTTCAATTTGGACAGTAGCTCCTCTCCCGTAGAGCCGGACTTGGCCGTTGCAGGAATTCACCCGCTGCCATCCACGTCGGTCACCCCGCAGTCTCCCTCATCGCCTGTCAGTTCGGTGCTTCTCCAGGACACTAAGCCGCACTTTGAGATGCAGCAGCCGTCCCCTCCCATTCCTCCTGTTCATCCCGATGTCCAACTGAAAAGCCTGCCTTTTTATGATGTGCTTGATGTGCTCATCAAACCTACAAGTCTAGGTAAGTGTTCAGTAGTTCTGCRTAGTGCATAAATTGTAAAACAGTGTCACCTAAAGCAACAGCTAAGTCCAGCCTTAATCAAGTGCTTTCTGCAGATGGTAAAAGGTAAAAACTTCCTTCTCATCAATGTGCTCTCTTATCCTTGCTTTCTCTCTGTTTTGYCAGTCCGTAGTGCAGGAAGCAATGGTCTGTTCTACAAATATATAATTGCATATAAACATACATTTCTCTCTTTTAAATATTAGTGGAATTAGATTTGTCTGGCGGCCTTGGACCTGAGGTATCTGAATGGTATAAATGATCACGCTTGTCAGGGCTCTTGAAGTAGATTGTCAGGTTTGCTAGTAAGTTGCTTCAGGGTCAGGAAAATAAAAATCCCCTGGTTTGGTAGTTTGCATCTGTCTCACTGCAGCACCTGTTCAGATCTTGGTGTGTTGTACGGAAGTACATGTTCTGACTGTACCACAAACATTCAGCTTTTTTTTACACCCATTTTAGCAACTGATTCTCAGCCCATCTCTTTTTACTTTTAAATCAGTACAGTATGACAGAGTAGATCTTTGTGTGTTCCAAATAGTTTAAAATCTTGTTGAGCTTTCTCAATATGCTCCAAAGCAAAAGGCATTTGAATAATTTGAAAATAGGTGGTTTTCTGTCTTGAATTTCAATCTGCCTTGCCTTGTGTATAGGGTAGGAAATGTTCCATAATAATTTAGTAATACCAACTGGTTGTAAATAGTAGCTTGCTGCTCAGCAGTGTGAAAAGCGCTTCCATTTAAGACTTCAACRTAACTATTGTCTTCAGTTGGCAGACGCTGAAGAAAATTCCTTTCAGCAAGTTACAAGTACAGTCTACTTGCATATCACGATTTGGTTTGCGGTAACCCAACCCATCTAAAATAGTTTTTGTTCACAAATGATTCAGCATGAAGTGGTATTTTCCTCTTATTTATTTTTTTTATATATCCTGATTCATTAAGAGCTTTTGAATAGGCCCTGGAATCCGACCTCTCTAAGACTTTTTCCCTGGGTAACTATGGCTCCAGCCAAGTGCTGACCTTTGGCACCATATAATAATATTTTCTGGGTGGTCTATAGAAGAGAACCTACTTCAGACTGTAGAAATACACATTTCAACTGAGTATTGTTTTTGAGACCAAAATCTTAATGAAATTTCMTTAATTGCTGTACTTCTGCATCAGAGGTGGTGTTCTTAGTTGCGTTTTTCTGTGCACATGGATGAAGATCTGATGCACACCCTTTGAACTGGGGTGTAAAGTCAGAATGATCTAAAGTGTGTGGGATAAGTGGGGATTACAGATAAAATGGGGATTCTTGAAATTAAGTAGCAAAAGCAGCCRTCAGAGCCGTTTTGTTAACTGTTATTCAAATCTTTGCCTTGGTGTATATATAGCTTTATTTTCTCAGTAGAAATGCTTTCATTTTTGTCAGCTCTTTGCACCCTCTAAAACAGCTTAGTTTCTTAGGCAAAAGTAGTGTTTTCAAGGCTGGGACTTGTATTTCAAGAAAAGCGTCTGCTAATAGGYGTCCTCCAGCATCTGCAGGAGCAATCATGGCTTGAAATGCTTGTTGTCACTTCTGCTTATGTATTGTGACACCCTGTTTGATGAGACTGAAGCAAAAAAAAAAAAAAAAGTGCAATAGCTGCTTTGGCATCAGACAGCTCTGTACTTAATGCTGTCACTGCATTCAAGAGAAATCTGATGGTGCACTGGTGTCCTGTCTAAATGCTACTTTTCAAAATGAAAACAAGTTAATATTTCAATTGAACTATTTCAGATGGAAAAAAATTAAGCAGTGTGTGTTCTGCACCAAGTTTCCTGTGTAATTAGCTTTTGTGGACAGTGAAATGGCAGTAATATTTTGAAGAATTTTCCTAACAGCTGGCGGCTGTTTCTGTGCTACTGTTGCTGAAAGGAGGATGCTTCCTTGGGACAGTCACTGAGCTGTGCTTAGTGAATTCTTCTTTTTCCCTTGAAAACCATGGCCTGTTCAGTGCATGTTATTCAGTCCTTATAAGAGGAAAACCTGTTTCTCTTTGGACATGGGAAGGAGGATGAGGATGCTATTAACTAAGCACTTGCCTTCAACCTCCCAAACCTGAATTATGCACCTTCAAGAATGCAATATTGAAGACAGCAGCAGCTGGAGCCAAACTCAGGCTTGTGCCTGAGGAAGTGAGATGGGAAGAGGACCCTCTGTGAGCAGTGGGTACTTCTGAGACTAAAAAAAAGTGAGCATTAGAGAAAGASAGAGAAAAAAAATCACTATAACGGGAGCTCTTGAGCAAATTTGAAGAAGATACTTCCTTTATATAATATTTTTAGATGATGAGATGAGTTGTGTATGGTTCCAGTTAGTGGACTTAGAGGATTGAGAAGGACAAGCTTATTCCTTAATTGAGAATTAAAGATTTAGAAAGCAAATAGGCAGAATAAGTCAGAGATAGAAATATAGTCTGCATTACTATGACTCTTTAAAAAGATTCAGATTGTTTTATACTAATATGATAATATAAGAAGGGATGTAGGTGTGGATTTTTGCTTTAGCTCTTCAGTAAGAACATTTGTATGGCCTTTTAAAAACATACTCTTCTTGAAGTGCAYGATGCTGCATGTGCTGTGCATCCAAGCACAGAGTAGAGCTTGGCTGAGGAAGGTGGTGCACGTGCAGGTGGATTCTGTTTCATGTTGCTGTCTTTTTGTGTGTTTGGTATAGAGGCTCTTCCTTTACAATTGTCTCACTGGTTGGATATTTTAAACTATTGAATGAGTCCAACTCGCTTCAGATTAAGCTTTCTAATTTTGTCACATCCAGAAATACAGAAGGAATGGATATAAACTGAGAGTGCTTAATATCAGAACACTACTGCTTTCTATCACTAACAGCTAAGCAAGATTCTGATATTAACAATGACTTTTTTACTCTATTTTTCTTCATGTGCTAGTAAAGGTTATTCCCAGACAGGGAGTGTAGCTGATCTCTAGCTCTGGGGCTTGTTCCTTCCCTCTCTCCCTCCCTCCCTCCCCAGAGGCAGTTACCTATAGCTGTTCWTGAATTGAATAATTTCCAGCTGTCCACTAATAACTCTCATGCACATTCTCCTCTTGCTGTCTTAAAATAGTTGTCAACATCTTGGCTCTTAGGTTGTTTCTCGCTCTCAGGTATCTAGTGTCACATTTTTTCTTGTGTCCTTCCGATGAAGTGTGAGAATTCCGGGAAGCTCCAGCTTATCCTTGCTCTCTCCAAGGATTCCAGCAGCTTGCCAAGCTGCTTATTATCCAAGTGTAATATGATATGAAGCCATCTGAACWTACTTGAGTGAATGATTTGTACCACTGCTTTCCTGTTGACAGTTACAGGTGGTGTGACAAGTTGATTATGTTCGTAAACGACATCTGACTTATTCCAGGAAATCTCGGTTATGAATCCTGTGTTAATCAATGATTTCAACCTCTGTGGTTAAACCTCTCTCTCTTTGTCTCTTTTTCAGTACAGAGCAGTATTCAGAGGTTCCAAGAGAARTTTTTTATCTTTGCTTTAACACCTCAGCAGGTCAGAGAAATCTGTATTTCCAGGTAAGTGGGAGGAGTGACACACTAAAGTAGATAGAAAATCTTTTCTCCTGAAACTCTGTAGAAGGAGATGGCGGGTTTTCTGTTTGTGAATATTACAATTTGTTTTGTGCATGTGTATGTGCATCCCATAATCTTGCAGGTGTGGAGGTGTAATCCTCACAGCAGTTTTATTCAGTAACAGSCTCTCTTCATGTGGAACTACTCAGCCCAGAATTATGTGCAGTTGGGGGCAATGCTGCACCACTAGGGAGCTGAAAATTACTCTTTTTTTAAATAATTTTGGCTATTGAAGAGGTGTTAAAGCTTTTCTTCTCTGTGTGTTTCCTGGCTGGGGGTATGGAAGGCTGCTTTTATCTCTTCTCCCAGGATTCAAGTTGCCATAAGAGCTATAGTGCAAGCCAAAAGAATTCATGGGATTTAGTTCTTAGGCAGCGTTGTGCCTTGTCTCTATAAATTCTTGGTAGAGGATGGTGACCTTAAAGCTGTGCTTAACTTGCAGCAGCTAAAATGGTAGAAGCTTTGCCTGTAAGACTTATTCATAGCTTTATCTTAATTAAAAGAGGAGATAAGGTGGTGGGGAGTTTGATGTTGGGCCGGGTCTGCCAAGTCTTTCTGTGTATGACTGGAATATGAGAATTGCTGTCTAAGTGGGTATTTCTCTTTTCTTTGTCACAGGGACTTCTTACCAGGAGGCAGGAGAGATTACACAGTCCAAGTTCAACTGAGGTATCTTTTTCAATGTTGCCTTAAAACTTGGCTGGTGTGATTAAAGATTTCATGTATGTGAATCACTTTGAGTGTCCTGCCACTTGAAAAATGACACCTTTTCTCTCTGGGGCTCTAGGTTATGCCTAGCAGAGACAAGCTGCCCTCAAGAAGATAATTACCCTAATAGTTTGTGTATTAAAGTAAATGGGAAGCTGTTTCCATTGCCGGTAAGCTTGTTTGTTTGTACTTGGTTATTTATCTCTTTTTTTTTTTTTAATATAGTATTAACTTAACCTGTCAGCAATTTCTGTTGCTAATTCCTTTAGCTCTTGTTACTGGATATGATTTGTGCCTTTGCCATGCAAGTTTCCCATTACTAATATTAATTATCTTACAATTAAGACTTGCAGTAATTGTGTTTAAGCTACTTGCAGCAAACCTGATATGTTGCGGTTAGGCCATAACAATGTCAAAAGAGAACAGTGTCTCACGGGAGATTCTCCTCCTAGATCTTCAGATTGAGTTGATTTGATGTGATTGACAGTTGCCCTTGCTGTTTGGACTATCTGGGTTCATGTGTTGGCTTGAGACCTTCCTTGTTAGGAAGAAATAGCATTACCTTTTGTCAGTACTGTTTGTGTGCTGCCCTGTATCTGCATTCTGGTGTATTATGTTGTAAAAGTTAGTACTTAGGGCCAATCCAAAGTCTGATGTAGATGGAGAAGAAAGTTTCATTAAACAAAACAAAAAACCCAACCGAACAAGAATTCAACCTTGGAACAGGTTCTGCTGCCCTGGGACAAAGACTCTCTTGCAAACTGTTCTGGAAGTTACAGAAGATGGAATATGATCGATGGAAGCACAGGCTTTTTTTTACCAGTATTGCTGGAAAACACAGGCTGTGAGAGGAGGTGGGAAACCTCGTTACCAGAATGTTCCCTTTCTCAGCCGTGTGGGATTTTTTCCCCCTTCTGCACCACTGAGACTCTTGTTTCTTCTTTCCTTAAATTACTGTCCCTAATTTCTTTCCCTTCTTTTACCATTGCATCACTGTCTATCTCTTTTCAGTGTGTAAGAGTGTCCTGCATATCACAAAAGAGGATTCTTTAATCTGTTCAGCAGAAATGAGCAGGTGAATAAATGACTTGTCTTGGAAATACCCTCTCAGGTSTGAGCTGAATGACAGATACCACTTCAACCTGGCTGCTGCTGGAGATGCTTTCTTTTTTCCATTTGCTTTGGCTTCAGGAAAAGTTTACATCCCTCTGGTGGCTGCTCTTCTTTTGTAGGAATTAGTGGCTTCAGAARCAAATATATGTTGTTGAATTCCTTTTGCCGACTTGAAAAATCCTGAAACAGGCACTGTTCTGGCTTTCCCTGGTAGAGCAGCTGCTGCCTCTGTAAATGTCTGAATTATCCTGTTACACTCAAAGTTACCTCCTTAGTTGCAGAGCTTAACCAGAAACTTGAGGAACTGCTGCCAGTGTCGAGACTGCTGCAGCTTGTGCCAACATCCTACTGTGGTGCTTCCTTGTACTCCAACAGCTGTCTGTGTCCGTCTCTTGTAGTACTTGTTCTTTTTCAAGGGCAGAGCCTTGAATGCTGCTTTCTTGGCCGGTGTCGCAGGTATTGTGTGAAATGCACTGCAGCAGTTCATTCTTCTCCTTAGTTCTCTTAGGGCGAATGTGGGTGAAACACAAGCCAAAAGTCAAACAAAATGTTTGTTTTTCTTTCCGGGGAGCCTCGGTGGGCCACAGTTGGCTTTTCCTTAGAGGCCTCAGCCTGCCAAGGCAGTCTGGAAATGGTCCCAGGGAAGAGCAGTCAGGTTTCCTTTCGATAACTTTTTGGCGACAACAGATTCCACCTGCTTTGACTAACAAAGTTCTTGTAAGAAGAAAAGACTAATTTGGTGTGTGCTAACCACTAGACCAGGCAGGTAACACAGCACTCTGTTGGCTGTGGTGGGAAAACAGGGCACTCTTTCCTGGAATTCTGTGCCAGAAGGGGAGGATTTTAACATGTTCTAGCAATACGAGATTGAATCAAACCTCAGGGTGACTACTTTGTGGAAGATCTTGTGATCCTCCAGATAAGCTTGTTAAGAGGAATTGTGATAGAGGAAGGCCAATCCCACTGCAGCAAAAATGATTGAGATTGATATTCCATAAAGTGCTGTGGTTGTTGTGTCTCCTTAACAAAAGGACAAATTATTCTTTTCAGTGCGAGATTTGTCTGCAGTGCCTRCACATCTGCTGCCTCTCTGCTCTGTGATAAAGCAGATATGGGGAGATTCCTGCTGGGATTGATTCTCATCTGAGTCAAGAGGTGTTTTTAGATAAGTTCTTCAGCAGTTGTCGTCCTCCGCTTTGGTTTGGTGGATCTTGCAGTGGAAGCCACAAGTCCTTGTGTTGTCACCATAAGCAGCAACCTTGTCTGAAGTTAATAAAATGCAGTAGTGAGGCACAGCCAGGAACTGGAAGAGCTCTTTTCCAAACTGCTTTTATTTACCTGTCATGGTAACACATTCTACATACCCTATGAGAAAAATGTTGATGAAATGACGTATATCAGTGATTGTCTGTTACTTTTGCTTTTTTTATTGTTTTGAGTTCTTTTCCAGTAATTCTTCTTCAGTGCATTAGATTACACATGTATGGCTTTTGTTCTGTGGGTAAAACAATATACTTGTCTGAAGTTCTTCACCAAAGACTAGGGAAAGTTGAGCAAACAGTACCTAGTTTGTTTTGTTTCTGTTAACATCAGAAAAAGAAAAGCCTCTGAGCTGTTAAATACACCCACTATTCCAAGTGCAGCTTATTTTCAGGGAGCTGGTCAAAGTACAGATGGCTGCTGGCTGAAATTGATGCAGAGTCAAAGCAGAATCCTTATAGTAGCCTCTTTTCTCTTAAGCTAGTCCTTAGGCTCTGAAGTTCAAGCAGTGACGATGTCTAGAGGAGATGCAGAACTCCTGGTGTGAGATTGGACTTTGTTTCTTAGAACGAACTGCTGAGTTCAACCCTTGGAGACTTGTGTTTGCCTCTTGTGAGGCTTGTCCTTGTGGGACCCTGATGTCCGAGGAGTGTGGAGTGCAGGGGGGACAAAGCATCAGCTTTTTGTCTTGCAGTAAACTTACCTGGACTGAAACTCTGTCYATCATTTTGGCGTTTCTGTAAAATCAGTTTAAAACCCCCAACTGCTGTGACCTTGATTCCCAGTTTAGAACTGTCAAAGACTGATTGAAGGAGATGTTGACCTCAGTATCCTTTCTTACCCCTATAGACTTCCATCTTTTCCCCAGCCCTAGCTAAAGGCAGCAGGGCTGTTCCAGCAGGTACCAGAGCTCAGTGGGGAGAGCTGGTAACACTTTCCCCATGTTTTCTTCCCATAGGGATATGCTCCGCCACCGAAAAATGGGATTGAACAGAAACGACCTGGGCGCCCCTTGAACATAACATCCCTGGTGAGGCTGTCGTCTGCGGTGCCAAACCAGATTTCCATTTCCTGGGCTTCTGAAATTGGAAAGGTAAGCAGGGTGTTTGGGAATATAGACTGAAACGAGAATAACTTCAGAATGTTCCTGTTCTCCCCACTTCCTGGTGTTTCTGGCAGTGCATCTGCCAATAAGTTTATTAATACGTGGATGAGATTATTATGAATTCCAGGAAAGGAAGTAATTCTGGAAACGTGATTGTAAAACATACAGAAAACTTCCCTGCAGYCCTCGCATGGAAGAGGAGTGTAGGTTCCCAGGCTCCTTTTAAGTGCAAGAGCTTTATAAGTAGCTTTGCCAYTTGGGATTGCCTGAAATATGTAAGTATGGACTGTGTGTGTTAGATCCTGAAGTCTTTTTGGGGAATAAATGGTATCAWATGGTTCAGGCATGACAAAAGTAACAAAAAGGGGAGTGATAAAAGTAATATTTATATAGCCATACGTTCAAAGGCAGTAGGACCAGATGTGCTGAGAGGACCAGATGTGCCGAGGCTGTGGGAGTGTGGGTCTAAATGTGTATATCTAGGTTTTCCTATTTTCTTATCTGATGATAGTAAAAACTTTTACAGAACCAACTGTAACTGTTAGATAGGTATTTTCATCTTCACTCTTTTGAAAAATCCCCCTTCCTCAAGTGAAAATGACCTGAGTTGATTAAAACTATGCTTGTAAAAACCAAAACCCATATGAAACTTCCAGTTCACAAAGCTCTTAACTTTTTTTTTTTTTAATTTAAGTGGCTGAATGGCTGCCTAGATGCTTTTCCCCAGTGAGAAATCATTGAGAGTATTTTATTTTTCCTGAAGTTTAAGTAGTAGTTCCTTGCAACTGTTGCTAAATAACGGCTTACAGAGATTGAAGACTTGGGTATTTTTGTAGGCCCTTCTGGGCTCAATTATCAAAAGAGTCTTTGAATTTTAAAGAAGTGAAAGAAAAGCTGTATGAACTGGGCATGTGTCTCAATGTGAGACATCGGCATAAACTTCATATATAAAAATACAGCTATATGAACAGACTGAAGCTTTAAGAAAAAAAGAGGAGAAAGTTAATGTTCCAAAAGGGAATGAAGCGCGGTGCTAATAGCAAAGATTCCCTAAAACAGGGAGGATAAATGTTAAAAAGATTTAAGARATCGACCATCTTACCAATAACAAGGCATGAGAGCCTTGAAACGACTGCAGGAAGTACGGATTAGGCTTTTTCCTGCTGTCCCTATATGCTGACTCCTCTGCATCCACCTAAATACATTCCTGTGCAAGTAAATAAACGGGTGGTTGTCCCTCAAATTACTGCTGTTGTGGGACTGGCAGTGGCTGGTTAGTGACACTGAAGAGTGTGAACATGGCACAAAGGAAGCTGGCAAGTGGCATAAACTGGAGAGCAGCCCTAAGCACTAGGGAATACACCTCTCCTCTTAGCTCGGCAGTATCTGAGCTTGGTGCAGAAGTGGAGAGCAAACTAAATGTGGTTTCAAAGTGGAAAGCAAACTACAGGAAAKGACCCGGTACAAAGGAACTGATGCAGTTCTGCACCATGGGAAGGTACCTGAAAAAGCTCACCTGATCTTGACAACGCAAGATTGTCTTTGAACTCTCCTGTGCCACAACAATACTGGCCAAAAGGAAGGGTATGAGACTAAGGTTTTGAAAGCCACATGCATAAGAGGGTAGGTCTCCAAGATGTTTCCAACTTCTTAAAAACTTTTGTTTTCAAGAAAAGCTGAAATTATCYCTCAGGTTATAACTGAAGCAAGGCAATAACTGGAGATGATTAGCAGAAGAATTTTGACAGAGTATAGGACTCCATTRTAATGAAGTCGCCTGTTAATGTTATTCCAATATGACCATCAAGCAAAAAAAAAAAAAAAGGCAGTTTTGATTTTTACTGTATGCTAGAGCTGTGGTAAATGCTGAGCTGTTGCTGTRGTGGAAATGTTGTGTTAAATAACTTTTTAATTGCTTTTTTTGTAGAATTACTCCATGTCTGTGTATCTCGTTCGTCAGCTTACTTCAGCTATGCTTTTGCAGAGGTTAAAAATGAAAGGTATCAGAAACCCTGACCATTCCAGAGCCCTAAGTAAGTCTAATGCATTTTCCTATTTACGTTCTTGAGGGTGGTTAGAACTCGTAACTCACTTGCAGCAGTTTGGGCATCGGGTTTGGGAGTCAGGGAGCAGATGGGAAGTTCTCCTGCTGTTGCTGAGCTGTCATGCAGGGAATCACTGTAGATCCTTGCACTAGCTGGCACCCCTAGAGACCTCACGGAGGTGTTCCTACAGGAATGTAGGGAGCATAATTTGCTGTGGAGGGCTGTGTGACATAAAGATGTCCTAAATGTCTGCATTTTYCTCACTTGTATGTGATGCTGTTGGTCCTGTCTCTATACTTCACTCACTGATAACTGCTTTTATTTCATCTCCTTGTACGTTGAACTGAGTCTGCTCTACTAACTGTTGTGGCACTTGTTGTGACGTGCAGCAAACACATCAGTCCTATTACTCGCAGAGCTTGTTGCTTGCTTTGAAACCCCTGTTCATTCATTGTTTCCTAGATGCTTAATTTTGTAGGTACCTGGAAACAAAAGCTTGTAAACTGGAGAGTTGAAAMTAGCATTTTAAATAATAGAGGTGTCTGTGTAATTAACTGTGCGTATTAAAATTTATTTCAATAGTTAAAGAAAAACTAACTGCTGATCCTGATAGTGAGATTGCCACCACCAGCCTGCGGGTATCTCTGATGTGTCCTGTAAGTACATCTTCATTTTCAGTGCAAACTGAGCTGATTTTTAAAAGGCCCTGCTTTTCCAGTTAAATGGCTTTTGCTTATAGGCTGCTTAAATATAGAATGTGGGGAGAAGGAGCCCTATACAAGCACTTGATTGTAGCAGCCTTCAACCAACTGTGATTTAGAGCTGTAAATTCCTGAACTTTTAATACAATCAGAATCAAGTTGTTTACATGTGTATTGGGATTTTTATAATGAGTAAGTGGGCAATACTGAGGTATTGGGACAGGATGGTGGAAGGGCACAGTGGATAATAAAATTCTTACATTGCCAACTACTGTAAAGAAAAATAAACCGATCAATTGGTAAAAATTAAAAGCTGCCTTGATTTCACTTCCTCCCTGAGTGTGTCTGGTTTCATGATTAGCCATCAAGGCCAAGTTGCTTTTCTGCTGTTTTGACTCTTTTAATGTATCTTCTGCAGCTGGGGAAAATGAGGCTGACAATCCCATGCCGGGCTGTTACTTGCACACACYTGCAGTGTTTTGATGCTGCTCTTTATCTTCAAATGAATGAAAAGAAGCCTACCTGGATTTGTCCRGTCTGTGACAAAAAGGCAGCTTATGAGAGCCTAATACTAGATGGGTAAGAGAGTGGGTCTGCAGACTACATAATTTTTTGTGAAGTTTTTTCATGATGTACTCAATACTGTGAAGACTTGAGATTTGTCAATTTCTAACATMGTTTCTTTCTCTAAATCTGTTAAGTCTGGGAGGAATCGTTAGAATCTTTTGGTTACTATTCCTGTGTAAAAAAGTGGATAAACTCACTCTTAATGGCATATTAAGCTTTTTTGAGATATAACCTGTCTCCTTTGGAGAAATCCAAATCTGATATGTAGGGGTGAGGTGGTCTCCCTTTCACACAAATTAKCACTGTGAAGCTTTTGGACATGATCTTTAAATCATAAATCGTATCAGCTAAATGTGAAAGATAATGACTCARATTACGTAAGGAAGTCTGAATTTTCAGTAATGATTGAGCTGCATAGAGGTAGACTGTGATCCTCTCTAGATTTCTGCCCATGGACTTCTGCAAAGGCTAACTAGAGTTCATCAGGTGAGGAGAGCACGTGCTGTGGTTCCTCMTAATTAGCTCTGCAGCTCTTGGCTTGTCAGTTAGCAAAAGACTGGAATCGAAATCAAAGCAACTTAACTTTTATTTTGCAGGCTTTTTATGGAAATCTTAAATGACTGTTCAGATGTGGATGAGATTAAATTCCAAGAAGATGGTTCCTGGTGTCCTATGAGGCCCAAAAAAGAAGCTGTGAAAGTCTCCAGTCCACAGTGCACCAAAATAGAAAGTAGGTGAAACTGGGTTGCCAGCCCACAAAAAGGCTTCATGTCTTGGAGCCTTCATAGCTGGGATACTGGGTGTGGGTAATGTTCTGTGGGACTGTGTGCGTGCGTTACTTTTAGGGCTAGGACCTAAACTTATTTCCTTTGTTATAATAACGCTTCAGAAAATAAAAGCTTCTTACAAATTCTTTAAATTGATAGTGAAGATGAAAGCTTGTGCTTGCTGTGCTTAACGTGACACAGTGCTACTAGTAAAACTATTCCTGGACCTGACATCCTCTGTAGTGGCTGGGAAGACTGGCTAAAACGGGAGCTTCTAGAGAGGGGCCAGCGGAGGGCAACAAAGATGATGAAGGGACTGGAGCATCTCTCATATGAGGAAAGACTGAGCGAGTGGGGCCTGTTCAGCCTGGCGAAGAGAAGGCTGAGAGGGGATCTGATCAACATGTACAAATACTTGAGGGGAGAATGTAGGGAAGAAGGGGCCAAGCTCTTCTCAGTGGTGGTCAGTAACAGGACAAGGGGCAATGGGTTGAAGTTGAACCCCAGGCAGCTCCATCTGCATGTGAGGAAGAACCTCTGCACTGTGATGGTGCCCAAGCCCTGGCACAGGCTGCCCAGGAGTGGAGGCTCCTGCTCTGGAGATGTCCCAAAGCCGCCTGTATGCGACTGGGTGCCCCGTGCTCTGGATGTCCCTGCTGGAGCAGGGGGCTGGACTGGATGATCTCTAGAGGTCCCTTCCAACTTCAACCATTCTGTGATTCTGTGATTTGGGATGCTTTTCTGTTGTGAACTGAAATTGCTCCTGTTTCAGCCTTTAAGCAATACTGACATTTTGCTTTCTTGCTTAGGCTCCAGTGTTGTTAGCAAACCGTGTGCTGTGACAGTGGCCAATGAAGTAAACAAGAAGAAAGTTGATGTTATTGACTTGACAATAGAAAGCTCTTCTGATGAAGAGGAAGATCCTCCTGCCAAAAGGAAGTGCATATTTATGTCTGAAACACAAGGAAGCCCAACCAAAGGGTTTGTCAATTTTCAAGTTGTTATTCTGTGATATCTCAGATAAAGTGATGAACTTGCAGTCTCTTTGAGATCCAGCTCTGTGCTTCCAGAGAGGTGACTTTTTAAGTCCCTTCTAGAAGGTTGTATTGTATACGGAACCTTTGTACAGGCAAAATGTTAAATAGATTTGCATCTCACAAAAGGCTTGCACTGACTTGCTGTGTTTGCAGGAATGTTTTCCCTAGAAATGGAAGCGGTGTGACTGTCAGAGCTCTCCTAGAAAGCTGGCTGACCCTAGTGCAGAAGCCTTAGGTGTTCTTGCTAAGCTAATGTCTTAAAGGCTTTTCCATGGTCTGTAATAGCCTTTATCTGCCCTGGCTGCCAGGAACTGGGCTCTGTTGCGCATTTCATCCATCCTGTCAGCCTTGAAAGGGAGACACACTGCTCTGCTGAGTTGAGATGCAAGTTTATCTCCCTGTGAACTTTGGAGTAATCTGTGGTAATTGATTGTGGTTGAGTCCTTTGCCTTTGGCTATAACAAACCACCTCCCAGACCCTCTAAACTCCATCTTCGTGATTTAGTCTGGACTCTAGGACTGAGCAGAAGCCAAATTGTTTCTTTACTGCTCTGCTTCTGCTGTCCCAATTCTGTCCAATGTGGCTGCAGTTGCTGCCTGTGGCTTCCTGTAAAGTTGCTGCTGTTGTCGCACAGGCTGTAAGGGACCTGCACGTGAAGGATGTGTCTGTTTCTCAGCACAGTGATTTGTCTCTAAAATGATAACAACAAACCTTCTGTTTCACCATCTCTTTACGTGGTGAGCAGGGGCGCTGCATCTCATCCTCAGGAATGTGTGGTCTTTTGGCAAGCAAATAGTTGGGTTTTCAACAATTTTCAGCAGTGACACTTGAAATGCTGTTGCTGGTTGTGAGGGCTGTAATTGAGCCGTCCAAGAGGCCTCATTTTAAAAAGACAAAATAGCTACAAATACCACGTCTGTTAATGAAGTTTCAGAAGGCACCAAGACTTCCTTCTATAACACTGCTCGAGTTTGAGATGACTGTGACTATAACTACAGAAGGACAGATTTCTTCAATATCTGCTACTCATGTATTTTTCTTCAAGTATGAAAATGGCATTTTTCATTCTTCAAATGTAAGACTAAGCCAGGCCTTCAGTGTTCAGGTCCTGTCAATAGTGTTGCCTGAGTACTAGTGTTTGCAGAGTTATGGGTGTCCTCCTGCAGGCAGAAATGCTTGAAGGGAGGGTCCAAATGCAGCTTCTGAAATCAGAAGTAGCCAAATGCAGCAGTGCAGCAGTCTGGGAAGGAAGGAGTGACATTGCCACTGTTGGTGGGCATAGAGATGGGTGGGAGTGGGAATCTTTGGTGTTTCCATGGGTTTCTCTCAGGCTGCTCTCCCAGAGAGCTGCCCTTCAGCCTCAGTTCAGGCTGTAAGTAGAGATGGGCTTGATACTTAGCTCTGTGCTAACACCCCTTGTGTGACAGGGTAGTATTGAGCAGGTTTGTGGAGAATTTGAACCAGGTGCCCTCCCCTTGGCTTTGGCTACCAGCCCCTTCTGTCCTGGGTGGTAGAGCAGGGAGGACCCCAGCACTGTACTCTGTTTTTATGGCCACTTTGTTCTTATGTCACAACTACTGCTGAGAGCCAAGATATGGTCATGTTATAATGATGGCTGTTATCAAAGAGGAGATTAGTGGAGTGCTGTGGAGTGAGTAGCCACACTCTAGTTGTGTCGTGATGCTGTGACATTGTGAATGAGAGTGCACAGGGCTGCCTAATTTCTGTTCTGTGTCTAACGGCCAGATTGTTTGTAACTTCCCATGCTGTTTAAAACAGGGTTCTCATGTATCAGCCATCTACTGTAAGAGTGCCCAGCGTGACAACGGTTGATGCTGCTGCTATTCCTCCTTCATTAACAGACTACCCAGTACCATTCCATCATCCACCAATATCCAGTATTTCATCGGACTTGCCAGGTAAGCGGTGCCTGTGTTTAATGCATATTCTGTGACAGCCTTATTAACTTGGGGGGTGGGTAAAAACTGAAGAATTGGGTAACTCTTTTACTGGAACAAGACTATATGAAGTACTGGCCTAATGCAATGTCAAGATAAGTCTAGAAAAGGCAGGTTATGTGACTGTCTTTCCAGTCTTAGAGTTTGCTCTTCAAAACTGTGGTGTCAACAATGCTGCCTCTGGCCTGTAGCCTCAAATTGGCATTTTGGAGTGGCAGCCAGAAATGCTTCTCGCTGTGTTCAGTCAGACTTTATATGAGCATCTGATTGTTATATGTCATAAACCTGACGGAGAGTAGCTGCTTATTTTTGCTATAGAACTAGCACCAACTCTTCTGGGCCCTGCGTGTAGAGAAATTCTGCTAGCTGATTGTAGTGGTGATCTCTGTCTAGACTGTATGAAAAAGCGTAAGGTGAGCTACAATATGTAAGCTGACCTCTATTGACTTTCTTTACCTAGACATACCCTAAATGCCTATGATGTATTCTTCAACACTGCTGCTAAAAATCAGACAAAAGGTGGGGATACTGATTATTTTCTCTCCTGGCTCCTTCAAAAGAATTTTGTAGATAGGGACTCCAGGGGTTTCCACTGGCTTTAATGAGCCCAGAGCCTAGGAAATGGTGACTTGACAGCAGGTGTCAAACTGGACCTTGTGTAGTTCCCTTCTGCTGTTCCATTGCCTCTCTCCTTAGCAACACCCCTGGCTTCTCTCCTCATCCTTCAGCATCAGTTTGGCTTATGAGATGGTTTCATTCCTTTTGTTTCTCTGCCTTCTTTGTTTCCCTTTCTGCTCCCTCCCTCCACTTTCTCCTTGTCAAGAAACCCATTGCCTCCCTAAATTGGACAGCAGAGTAAGGTGAGGGACCTAGGACCATTTTGTTCATCTGTTATCTAAAGTCCTAAAATGTTTTGGAAGCYGAGGAGCAGCAAATGCTGTAAAAGCAGGTGAAATTAAAATCTCCCTTAAATTTCCTCGTACGAGGGAGGAGATTCTGCTGTCCAGATTTGACAGTGAGGGGAGAGGGAGTAGTTTATCATTTCTCTGGTGACATGGCAAACACAAGGCCAAGGTTTAGAAACGAAGGCCATGATTTCTCAGTGTCTTCATATCTTTAAGCATCGTGCCTTGAACACTTGCACATTAATGGTGTATAGTTTGGATGCTAGCTGTCACTGCTCTTGGAGGATATACCTTGACCTACTTGTAGTTTCCTCTTCTTCATTCCTTTTATTTGTCTAGACACAAAACGGGGATGATGTTAGATATATTTCCTTATTGGCTGCCCATGGGTGGAGGAAGAGACCTGCTGCTTGTTTTTGGACTTGTGCATGTTGTGACTTTACTTCATTCCAGCATCTTTAATGTGATGACACTCTTCATGTCCCAGTTTGGCCAAGTCAGGTACAATATGCAGTGAAACTTGCATTATGAACCAACAGCTCCAACTGGCAACCTCCATCTAAGCAACCATACCGATCCACCCCGCAATATCCAGTGAATAATACTACATCATTATATCATTTTCATTCTAAAAAGAGCCACTTGTGCTAGATAACTCTTGCTGCTGCCTGAAGTAGTCCTTGAGAGTGGTGTGACAGTGGTGTACTTCATGTAGAAACTGTGTAACAAATGCAAAATCTATTCAACTACAGTTCCTTAAAACTGACACCAGGAAGTGACTTRGCAGAAAGACACATCAGTTTTCCTTCTTTTCTTTCTAGGTCTGGATTTTCTTTCGCTAATCCCAGTTGATTCACAGGTATGTTTCTGAACTGCAGTGGGGCTTAATTTTTAAGTCTTATTTTCACAACATGCTGTCTTAAGTAACTGTGAGGATGCTGTTGTGATCCATATCACGTTTGCAGTCCACTTGGCGCACAAAAACATGCGTTTCCCAAAGCAGAGTTGGTAATAGAGTTAAGGTAATAGAATAAGGACCTATTCTAGGTAAAAGGTATAAATAATCTAGGCACAAGATCTCTCTGGTGGCTTGTGTTACTAAAGCAGATCCTTGCATAGTACTGGCTTGGATGCAACCATTGGGATTGTTGTGCTCTTAATTTATGTTGTGTATTTAAAGGCTAGCCTTTAGATTATTTTGGCATTTCCTAAATCCAAAGTAATCTTTCCTGCARGTTGCCTTTCCTGTCCTGGAAATGCAAACTTTAAATTACAAAGTTAGGAAGAACAATTCCTGCTGTAATTAGATTCTCACAGAGAGACCTTCAAGAAAGAGAAGTATTGGCTCCATAACTAAGACAACAGGACCTGAAGCTGACTCTGCCTTTCCTCTCTGGGTCTGTCGCTAGAAAAAAACATAATGGGACATTACAGTGGAGCTCACATTCTGGTACCTTAAGGATGAGCTTTATCCATTTTCTTTCCCCTTACTGCATCTTGCTCAGTGCCTGACCTTGATCTGAGCTGTCCAAGTAGGAATGTCAGAAGTCTGTTTGCATGGAAACCTCAGGAGCAACTGTGGTGCCACAGAGTGTCCGTCTTAGTTCAGACAGCTCAGGCTCAGTCCCAAATACACATGATTCCAAATACACATTCCAAGATGGGAATCTACAAGATGAGAAAAGTCAGGTTGCGTTGAACTACATGTAGGGGAGGTCTTATAGTAAGAATCTCCTCTCCCCTGACACTTGGCCACCTCTTCCAGCTTCTAAATCCTTAGAGTATCTAGTTTTACTCTGGGAAGGCTTGCCTTCCATTTTAGAAAGCGTAAATTAATSCAGCTTGCAGCTCATTTATCATCACTAAAATGTTGAGAGGCTTGGATGCATCATTGGTGGCAGTGACACATGCTCTGCAAGTGGGGACTAGCTGCCACCATGAAGTTACTGTGATCTCTGAGCTAGCAAAGAGCATCCTGTTACCTTTGGGATGAAAGGAGCCTGAAACATGTAACTCTGCCCTGCAACATCACAAATGCTCTTCATTTATTTTGTAATGGTGATTATGTGGTCATGCTGGTGTTCTCTTATGGGCCAGTATATGTTCAAACTAACCCCCTATGAGAAGATGGGGAAAATGAGGAAGAAAGATTGTAACTACCCTCTGTACCTGCTTACTTGGCCGTTTGCAGAACTYGGGGTCTTGCCGTGCATGTTCTGATGAGATTCTGCTGGTAACTTGTGCTTGTTGTAGGGAAGATGTATCTTCAGAGCATACATTTCCCTTGTGCAGTTAGTCTCTTCATTCTTCATTGTTTGTTTCAAGCAGTACTGTCCTCCTATGTTTTTGGATAGTCTCACCTCAACCTTAACAAGCAGCACGCCTGGCAGCATCATCACCTCCACCAGTCACCACGAGAGCAGCACTCACGTTAGCTCCTCGAGCAGGGGCGAGACCGGAGTCATCACGAGCAGCAGCGGCAGCGCTCCCGACATCATCTCCCTGGACTGAAACACGGGGCAGGCGACACCGGCAGGAAGGGCCAGGGCTGCCTGCGTCTCTGGAACTGCAGTGGCTGGGAAGTCATTCTGATATTTATTGCAAAGCTTTTGCCTTTTGGAAAATGGAGTAAACTCATCTACACTAAGAAGTGATTTAGATTTTTTTTTTTTAATTTGCTCGTTAACTAGCTGGTAGAAAAAAGGCCCCTTCAGAACCTGCTTTTACCCTTTGGGCTTGTTCTGGGGAAACTGACTTTCTGTTGCTGGATGCAGTCCAAAAATTGTTTTTAATTTCATTGTCAAAACAGCAATAATGTAAAAAAAAAAAAAAAAAGGAAAAAGGAAAAAAAACCCACAAAACAGAACTTTTTTTTTTAATTAAAAGGCACTTAACTATTCTAGACCACCACCACTCACAGCCTGGACAAAGGTGCAGCAGTGTATGCATTGGTGAGTTTCTCATATCTTCAACTGGGGCCTGTAATAAACTTCATTTAAGATAATGAAGGTTTGTGAAATAGCCATGACTTGTGTTTTATACTTCTCTTGCTCCCTCCTTCCTCCTGACCTGGAAGGAATGGGAAGCCTCTGTAAATGCATTGGTGGTTTTTTTGGTTATTGTTGTTTTTTTGTTTTCTTGATTTCATGTTTGTCACGAATGCAACACTCTGCTAAACTGACTTCACTTAATGGTCTTGGGGCTGGKAAGGGAACAAACTAACTATGCAAACCCTGCATTTTACAGACTGTCACTCCAGAACTGATGCTCCCTCCTCACCAAACCCCCTGCCCCCAAACCAGCCGCACCACTGAGCTACAGCTGATGCTCTGGCCTGACACATCTAAGAGGGGCTAGGAAAATAACTCCTTGGATGGTTTAAAATCCTTGTTGGTTCTTACAGTAGCAGCCACCTGCAATCAGATGACAAAAGTGAAGTGTGTGCTCCACAGGGCAGCTGTAAGGAGACAAGGTTTCTCTCCTACTTTACCTAGTGCAGGTTTGTTTTCCAGGATGTCTTGCACATGACCTAACTTCTGTCACTTCAGTAACTGCTCTGGCCTCAGGAATGCTGCAGTTTGTGCTGTAGTGGAGACTGTTGGGAAGACAAATAGGAACATGACCTTCCCACCAAACTACAGGTTTAGAGTTTAGCAACATGTCCTGGATTACAGAGCCATCTAATCAGGGTGTTTCTAGTCAGACTGAAATAACTTCCTCTTCTTCAACTCCTGTGAAGCTGCTGCTTTGTTCAGTACATGCAGCCTTTTCCCGCACTGCGTGCAGCCTTTTCTAGAGATAACCTCCTCCCTGCTGTCTGGGGCAGGGGTCACAGACCAGGAAAATCAAATTTATTCCATAGAGCTGGAATAACAGTATTGTCTATATATGTTGACATAGCAACTTTTCCAAGTGATGTATTTCTGTTGAGTAACTGTATTTAAAATTCTCTTTCCTAGTTACCAGCTTTCAGTTTTCTCCAATCTTGTGTTTCTTTTTTTTATTGCTTTAGTCTGAGATGTTGGTGCTTTTTTTGCCTTCTTTTACTGTTACAGTATTTGAGCTAAGTACATGGATAAGAAATATCAAGGCAGGATGTATTGTGAGTTTTGTCTGCCCTGTATTCCCATTCTGAACGCTGCACTACTCTTCCTCATGGCCTTCTTTCATTTTGTTATGACCCTTCACACCAGTCTTCAATTCACAGGTTGGTCTTAATATTGCACCTACCCCTTGTTCTCTTTCCCTCATGTTATTTTTTTCCTGTTAACAGGAGCCATTTTTTAGCATGATTTATTTCTAATAAAGCCATGCTACTCCTGAGGTTTTCTGCCTGATGGCTTGCAGCTGTTCAGTGCTTTCTGCATCACAGTTGTACAGTAGCTTGGACAATAAGAGTGCTGAGGTTCAAAAGCCATTCAAATAAAATGCTTAAAACTGGGCTCTGTTACTGAAGATGCTTTGTGCTCATGGAGGCGGGACACAGGCACCTGCTGAACTGCCCGAAAGGACCTGTCTCATGTGTAACTCCTCATGTGTGTTGTATGTGTGGATAGATTTATTTTTGGACAGGTGTTCTAAAAGTCCCATTATAAAATATAGACACTCTGGCCAAATCTTTACTGACTTAACTCCTGTAGCCTGCTACTGGTTACTTATCAAGCCTAAGCTATGGGTTCCCAGCTGTTCAGAGCACAACCTCAGCTGCCTTTAGTCTTGCATCTTCCACACCTCTGGCAGCAGTAGCAAAAACAGACTTGAGGCCTGGAGATTTTTATAGGCTGTAGTGTGAAGTTAAGTGTTAATGTAACTCTACTATTACACCCTTGTACACATAGGAAATGTTCATTAGTCTTAATGTAATCCATGTGATACTGTAAATGATGTGCATCAGATGCTTTGAGTGCTGCCTTGGAGCCCTGTCATCCATGTATTAAACCTTTCTGAAGATAACCCAGACTTTGAGCAGGGATGAGTGAAAAGCAGATTGGAGTYAACATTTAATCAAGGCCTCTCTTGCTCCAGCTCTGTGTCTTAATTCAAGCAAATCAATCATGTGGATATGGATGAATTAATGCATGTGCTGCAGCCCAAATGCACCGGAGTGTCTAMCGTGGAACTTCTAGCATGAGAAAACCTAGAAGACCAAGCTGGACTTCCTCCCTGCCCATTTCTACTACAGAAGTACCTGATTAGATTTTTAAGTTAACTATATCAAAGCTACTTTCAAACCAGCTGCAGAAGAAAAGGCAGGCAGAGCTGAGGGAGTTCTTGCCACCTCCATGGCTGATCAACAGCGTGGCCGTGCTCCAAGAGAAGGCCCTTCTTTCCCCACCCTTGCACTTGCAGAATGTTTTCTTCCAGACTTTCTGAAAAGTGAACTTCCTCAAGACAAGCTGCTGAATAGCAGGAAATTATCCAGAGGTGGAATTCCCTCCTTCAAGCCTTTGTGCTTACATATTTCAGCTACACCTTGCCAAGGATGAGAATTTGTGTCATGAGGRTCTCTGGGCAAGATCTGCCACTGATCAGAGCCATGCTGTGGAAAAGCCTGGCCACCAGCTTTGGGTCTCAAGTCAGCAGTGAAACCTAATGCGAAGGAAGGAGGAAAAAAGGGTTAAATTACAAAAATAAGTGTGGGTTATTGTGAATCTCTGCACAGCTGTAAATCCCCAAGCACACTTCCAGAATCTCCATGTTCCAGGTGATTATTCAAGTAAGTTGGGATTCTTCAAAATCCTGTCCACATTTCCTGTTCAGAACACCATACATCYAACCTACCACTTGTTCTGGGCACTAAAAAAATAAAAACAAAGGAAAAACAAACCAGAAATGGAATCAAGCACCCAAGTTGCATGCAAGGTAGCTCCTCTSCCTCTCATAACTGCACAGGCTTCAGTTACTGAATATACTGGTTTACAGTCTGCATCTGAGGCAAGGAGTTGCCTACAACTACTTTCTGGCAAAAGCAAGCAGAGTTCTCTGTCTCTGCAACAAATGCAGTGACTACAGGAGACTCTCACCACACATTATCTTAGAGATGGCAATGTGAGTGACAAGTGCTGTGATAAACCCCTGATTTTTTATTTATATATRTGTGTGTGTGCGTGCGCACACAAATAKGCACTTAAACATATCACTAAGTTTGGAGAATCCCTTCCTTTATCATAATAGGTCTCATAGATGTTAGCAGTGAGAAAATTCTCCCTTTCCTTGCTTTAGCTTTATTTGCCTTCCTCATCATCAGTCCTCATGGCCAGGACATTCCCAAGCAACGGAGCTCRCAGATTTCCTGGCCATGACCCAGCAGCGCAGTCTGCACAATTAATTTTTAAGCAGATTCTACATCTTCTAATCACTGCTAAGACAGTTAAGACAAACTGACAGATGAATAGTTGTACTTGGGAATAAAAATATTTTGAGCTTAGAATACATTTCCAAGGCTTCTTCATGGAAGAATGATATCACATAGAGTCCAGCATAGTTGTATGGGAGAAGGGTGTATTATTCTGTAAACAATTCAACTAAAACAAAGAAAAAAGAAACATTTACCAAGACCATCACTCAGAATCTTTCTGAAAGCATCTTTTTTTTTTTCCATAGTGAGAAGCAGGTAAGAAGGATCTCTGAATATCTTTACAAGCTGTACTCCAATATTGTCTATAATCCACTCAAGGTAGATGACAAGGACTGTGAACTTCAGTAACACACAGCTTGAGTCAAAATATCAGCTAATAAACTGAAAACRCACAAGGCTTGGAGGAAACATTTGCTCTGGCTGAAGAGCCGGTTTTACACACCAAGGAATCTGTCACTGTCCATTTTCCACGATCAACATGAGCAATCACAGACATATTCCTAATATTAGACTTCTTGTCCATGACTGCCTGGATCTGACGTACCATGAAATTCACCTAGATGAGGGTTAAAAAAGAAAAAAAAAGACAAGAAACTAATGCTTCCTTTTTGATTCTATGAAAGTTGATGTGATGTTTTAAAAGCTTACTGGTTATTATTAATAATCTAAAGAGGAAATTAAATTGTTCCTAATTTTAAGCTTAATGTTACGGACASTTGCTCATATTTTTGGCATGGTTTTGTGATTATGAAGACAAAGTATAAGTAAATAGTCTATATTTAGTATTACGAAATGGCAATGGCCAGAAAAAATGAAGACTTCACCTATGGAGGCGGAACTTAATTAACTTTTAATTGAGTTAAGCTGGTACCTAATACACAGCCGAAAGCTGCAGCTCTCAGTATAGCTTGCACACCTCCTGCTCCTGTCCTCCCGTTACTGCCCCTTGCTTTGCCAAGTTTTCCTCTTGTGKTGCCCTTTTGACTACCACATGGCTCCATTTGGTAGCCTGTGCTGCAATGCTGCTTATCAGGGCCATCACAAACACCCCGGAGCTGACTTTCTCTTTGGCAGAACATCCTTTTCTCTCAAAAAGGTTCAAATTCTCGTTGCAGCAGCCTACTCTACAGCTTCGATTCGGAAATACTCGTTATAAGGCAGAGCGAAAAATGAGCTTATTGGGGCTCACCTAGGTAACTAGAACATGCGTTTTGGTTAAAGATGAACACACCAGAAGACCGTACAATCTCAGAAGAATTAAGTTAGGAAAGAAAGGTCCCAATTGTGTTAAATATAAAGCCATTTATAGAAATTTCTAGCTGCTTCCTAGAAATTACTGCTGAAATGAGCAAGCTGCTTGAGAGGGGTTCACTAGAATGAAGAGATTGGGGTGAGCGGAGCCGCTGCGGGGAGCAGCACCTTCCCCCGCGGACACCGGCCGCCTCCGGGGGATCCAG